AAATTTCATTGGAAACAAAGAAAAGAATAATGAACTTTTATGTAATATCGGTCCTCCTATATTACAGTGAATGCTGGACAGTCTCCTCACAGATGACGAATAGACTTGAAACAGATATTTTGTTCAACTGAAGGATGCTGAGAATATCACGGACTGAACATGTGAGCAACGACAAAATTTTAGAGAAAATGGAAACAAAAAGTGACACTTATAATTAATAGCAAAAAGAGGCACAGTTGAAATTTCTACACAGAACATAATGGGGAAAGAAAACTTCCAAATTTTGATACTGACACTATATTGAAGGCAAGAGGGACACTAGAAAATAGTGAATAAAGTACGTAACAAGATTGTGTAAATGGTTAGCAAAACAGATTAGGAGAGATAGTCATAAGACAAAATTTACTAAGAGATACAAAGGACAAGAAATTGTGGAGAACCATGATCGCCTATGCCATGTAGGGACACAGCACATAGAAGATGATGATTTAAGCAACTCAAATTGCTTAATTTTTGTACGCGAATTAGTACTCAAGTCCTGGTCTAAATCCTAAGTTGCTTATAAAAAAACAATCACATTGTCTTGTAATGACAATTTAATTTTCGTTGTTTCCAATGCCATCGTTGCTCATCTTCTTTTCTCCATAAAACAATGTTAATGACACTTTATCAAATCTTGACAGTTTTTGCAAAATAAAGTGCTTGCTTTTAGTTCTTAAAAGATTTCACAGCGCCTTTTTTATCAGTCAGTAATAGAAAAAGGAACTGTCTTAATTTGTTTTCATGACAATTTCCCTCCACTTTGAAGGAAACCACTCGGTCTTTATAATGTCATAACCTTTATATTTAATAAACTCATAAAAGGGTTGTATTCCTTCCTAGTCTCTTTATGGCAGCGAATGTTGGACGGTCTCCTCAAAGATGAAGAAGAGACTTGATGCAACGGAGGTGTGGTTCTACAGAAGGATGCTAAGGATACCATTGATTGAACATGTGAGCAATGATGAGATTTTGGAGAGGATGTAAACAAGGAGGAAATGTATACTTAACATCAGAAAGTGATAACTGAAATTTCTAGTGGACATAATGAGAAAGGAAGGCCTGGAGAATTCGATATTCACGTGGCAGATAGAGGGGAGAGAGACGGGAAAGCAACGTGTGGCATACTTAGAGGGCTTAGGCAAGTAGATATCAGAACAGGGTCTGGGAGAAGTGGCAAAAGGACAAAACTTATTGAGAACTACAAATGACAGGAGGAAAAGTAGAGCCATGATTGCCCACGTCCTGAAGGGACATGGCACATAAAAGAAGTCTATAGAATAATTGTGGCAAATCTATTTTGGGACATGATTGCCTACGTCCTGAAGGGACACGGCATATAAAAGAAGTATATAGAATAATTGTGGCAAATCTATTTTGGGACAAATTTTTCAGATTGGGCGTTTCTTCCCTCAACACTGGTTTCTTGGTATTTATCGGTGTTTTCTTCCTTGTATCCGCTTCGTCGTTCGTTTCTCTTGTCACAACTATAGGTACAGTACGATGCCACAGACGTTTCTCATCTCCGCGATGGTCTACTTGTAATAGGGTATCACCAGTCACTCGCCCGGATGATACATACCAAACATACGGGTACCTCAGAATGGAACACTAACACACCCGGATGTCCCTACTCGATTCCGTCCAACCACGCTAATATTATACATAGTTGCTAATGAACCAATTTCTTGTGGAGCAACAAAAAAGAAGAGTCTCTTTTGACGGAACAACGTACTCGCCTTCTCGTCATGCCAGACAAAGTCAAACTCTGTTTCCTCAAGAATAAGGCAAGTCCTGTTCACAATTTCTGCTGCCATTCGACTTTGGTTCTGGTTCACTATGTCTGCCATACAAAACACCACAATTAAATCAAGAAATAAATAATACTTGTCTACTAAATCTTTCTTTCGGGAATCAATTTACTTTTGGCCTCTATCTTTACTCTAAGCAAAATTATCTACTGATTAATGTGATGACAACACAACTCTCAAGAGGAGCACTTCAATCATTTCCTCTTTAATGTTATCTATTTGTTTATTGCTATCATTTTTTTCTTAAATGCTATTTCTCAGTTCTTTATATCAGTGTAGCTTGATTTGAAAGACCCTAGCAGTTATAATACAGATCAAATCCTGAGTTTTCCCCTGCCATGAGGAATTCCATTCTCAATAAAGTTCCAAGTTTTTAACATCTCTTGAGTTTCAGGTTCATGCCAGACTTTAAGTGGAACTCCTAGATGATGAAAAATATTTGGCATATTCTATCACTCCAGAAAGTACCTAACTACTTCTGCCATACTTTATCTTGACAAGAGCCAGATTAGACCCAAAATAACTGAATTTTTATACCAAGCACTTGATAATAACGGAGAAGCTCGAACCGTAGCTCTAGATATCTTTAAAGCGTTTGATATGGTTTGGCACGCTTGCCTTCTTCGTAAGCTTCAGGGATACGGCATTACAGAACGATTATTTGACTAAATACAATACATTCATTCCTTTCAAACCGTGAAATGAAGGTCGTCCTAAACGGTTTCTCCTCCAGTTCCTTTATCGCGAACGCTGGTGTTCTCCAAGGCTCTGCCCTGGGTCCTACGCTGTTTCTGCTCTTTTTCAATGATCTTCCTGGTGTCATCAGACCCCAAGTTGGCATCTATGCAGACGACAATACTATTTACTCCTGCCCCAATAGTAAATCTGGCATCGTTGACAAAACCAACCTGTCTGTAGGTCTCGAAAAGAACATCCAATCTGTGGTTGATTGGGACAGCAAATGGCTTGTAAACTGTAAGGCCTACAAAACGAAACTGCTCTCATTTACCCACCTTAGAGAACCCTCCCTGCCTCCAATCAAAATGGCTGATGGCTCTACGAGAGCGCCTCTCTGCGCCTGCTTGGTCTCACGCTGTTCACTGACCTGAAGTGGAACAAATACATTGAATCTATAGCTTCATCTACTGCAAGGAAAGTTGGTTCTCTGTGTCGCGCCAGAAGGTTTTTCTCGCCTGAGACTATCCTTAAAATCTACAAATCAACCATTCGTCCTTACATGGAATACTGCTACCATATATGGTCTGTTGCTCATACCGTTCATCTCTAGATCCTCGACAAAATCCAGAGACGGATATGCAACGTGATTGGTCCTGATCTGTCATCTCGTCTACAGTCACTTTCTCACAGATGTGCTGTGGCTTCCCTCAGTCTTTTCTACAAGTATTTTCATGGCAACTGCTCTGACGAGCTTTGTTCACTGGTTCCCAAGCAGCATGAATTTAAGCGTGCTACTAGGTTGGCATCTTGGTCCCCCCCTTCACTGTCGAAACGACTAAATGTAACCACCTCTTCTACTCCAAGAGCTTTTTCTCACGCACTTACCGTCAGTGAAATTCCCTTCCTTCAACTTGCTTCCCTGATAGCTATAATCTTCAAATATTCAAATTTAATGTCAATCGACATCTTCTGATGCCTTGATCTTGATCCCCCATCCTTCTCTTTATCCTTTTCCCAAACTCCCCTTTTTATTCTTGCTCTCACTCTTTAGAACCCCTTGCATGCTAGAGGAATTCCCACTTTGCCTGGGATAATATGCTTAAAAAAATATCTGCAGTAGAGTTACTCAATTCTCACTTTTTAGCCTTGACAGGGTTCAAAATTGTTTTGTGCTCTTGTGGTGGGGGACGACTTATTTTCCACTCTGCAGCATCTTTCCCTGTAGTCACAAGCCATTTAATAATCTGTCCACATCAGCTTCATTCTTTACTTCCACCAATTCCAACCTTTACATCTAAAGCATTCCATGCCACTACCACAGAGTTAAATCACCTTTATTTCCTCTGTGCGCCAAATGTAAGAAGGCGGCTCAACTCAGACAGCTTTTTCCCCAAGAGACTCCCACGTGGTTGCTTCCTTGAACACTCCAATCTGGACCTCTTCAAATCAAATGTCAATTGTCATTTTATCTCCTTAGCTGTATAATTTCCATTTCTTAAACTTCTTCTTTCCTTCATCATGCATTCTAGGAGGAACCCTTTTTTTTTTCTTTTTTTTTTATTATAGTTGCCCTCAAGCTGTATGTTGGTTGAAATTTAGTCTATCAAAAAAAGTAAAAAAAAAAAAAGAAATTGTATAAAAACCACCACCAAATCTACTATAAAATTTTTTGTAATGCCAAGGAATATTCATTGTCAGTTTTGTAATGCTCATTGTAGTAGAGACTTGGTAATCACAGATACAACTATAGTAACACCATTGAACAATACTGGTGTCAGACGCTTTTGAATAATCTGACACTAATAGTATTTGCTTAATAATACTCACTCAAATAGTAATCCATATAGTAATCCAAATAGAGAAATAGTATAGTGAATAGAATAGAGAATAGCAGTCTATATAGTAATAGAGTAGAAATAATAATCAATTAGATGTCATGCAACTTCCTGCATATATGCGTTTCCTCTATGGTCATGTGGTCTACTTAATTCAATAATGGGATCACCTGTGTTTGCTCAATGGCGATCTATGTTCAAACTCAAGTGTCAGCAACGACACTTTATTCCTATATAGCAAAATCATCAATTGTTTCATTTAAAAATTAGTTTCCATCTAAGAAAATCTTTAAAGCATAATTTTCATTCAAATATCAATCACAATATGATTAATCCTTCAAAGCAAGGGTTGTCCAACTTTGACCCACAGGTCAAATCCACTTTCATGAAATATGTGATAATTTTGAAGTAATAACTTTTATATTATTATCCTTTATTATTATGAATGAAATTATAAAAAAAAAAAAAAAAAAACAAGATTCATGTATAGCCACCTATCAGGGACACAAATTGAAAAGGTCAAACTATAGTCCAATGATATCCCATATGACAAATACAAAGAGGAATTTCTTTTTTAATGCCATGTCCTTTCATAATGTTGGTGATAATGATGATGACTTTCTAGAGATTGGCTTACAGTCACATCACATTGAAACACCAGTTCCTGTAAAATCACCAAAGTTAAGCAATGTTGAGCCTAGTTAGTAACTAGATGGGTCATCACTTAGGAATACCAGGTGCTGTAAACTTGGATGTGCAGGTGGTGTAAAAGATAATGGCATGGAATTGCTAATCAGGGCCAAGTTTCAGTTCCAGTTTAGTTCATTATATTCACTTACATGAAAATACCTTTGGAAAAGATGTGAATCCACACTTCTTCCGCAGCTATGGGTTAACTAATAAGACTTATCACTAAAGACAGATGGCACAGTGGATAAAAGCATTAGTTAGATCCAGTGACAGGACTCAAAGAGTGTGAGTTCAATACCTGATTAAGGCAGTGGGGAACTTGGAGAGGGGAATTAACAGGAGATAACTGATATCCATTAGACATGGCACGTGGAACAGTCTACTCCAGTGAGCGAAATAAAGGGTTCAGTTCGACATTCTAACCACCTGGAGAAGGCCAGAGCGTACAACGGCCGAAATGTTGTGATAAATATGGCGACAAAAGGACAGTAATTCGAATAATGTAAATAGCATACTTATCACTAAATCATTATTGTTTTAAATTCTAAAAAAATATTTTCTGACTTTAAATAACCATCAAATAAGGCATAAAAAACTAATCAATTTCTAAAGATTATTTTTTTTATATTATCAGTATATTGCCACCCTCTTTTGGGATTGATAGTGGAGTGGTTGTCTCCTTCATGCTTTTGAATTCAAAGTAGTCTTTCTATTAGACTTGGTTGGCACCCAAGCCTCGACTGTAATTTAACTAATGGCCCGGGGAAGAAATGGTCTCATGCCTTTTCTAAGGACATTAGTACAGAAGTGAACAGGACAATCTAGACTGGAATTTGAACTAAAAAATGAATTAACTGTTACAAATTCCTTCTAAATGGTAGTTTGTTGTATGGTCTTTTACCCAACAATTTGCCACATGTTTTATGGGAGAAAACGTTTTCCATCCTGGGTATGATGATAAACTGCACCCAGCAGCAAGGCCTCTGATCAGGAGGTTTTGAGGAGCACGGAACCACCTCTTAATTACTGTTGTTCCCAGATCCACCATGACCCGGGGTGGTAGCACCTGTTAGGGTACCAGCTATGGGTAAATACTTACCCCACTCCAAAAAAAACTGGAGTCTGAATACTACAAAAGTGTAAAGATGGGTTTTTTATAGCAAAAATACCAGCAATACAAACTGCAATATATAAAATGCACATTCCCAAAAATTACAAATTCCCCTCAATGGGACTACCTGTTTGCCGTGGGTGGTGACCTGTGATGCCTGGGGACAGTCCTGGTGACTGAGTGACTCCTGATCTGGTATAAAATGACAAAGTTTCCACAACACGTCATTTTGGTCCCTACTTGGAATAGATGGACAGATTGAATAGCCCAATCCATTCCAATCAGCTAGTCACATGTGGCCAGGACTTGTTGGAATGAAAAATAATGGCTCTGACATGGCTGCGAATCCTTATAGCACACTATATTTCGGTAGATATGGTGGGGGAATGCAGGTGCTCATCATATTCACTTTCCTCATGACTATACTGTGAGCCCTGGCAGATCAGGGCAAAAATGGGATTAGTCCCCCCCACTGATTGTGTCTCTTAAGAAAGAACTCTGAGGTGGGTGGGAACACAGACAGCAAAGACAAAAATACAAAATTTATCTCTTATGAATGAACCAAGAGACAACATGAGACTTCCAAAATGTCAGAAAAAAAAAATTTCCAACTTTCATAAGACACAGAAAATTTACTAAAAATCAAGCAAATAGACAACAATAAAGTAAAGGCTTACCCCCACCAATTTCTTAATTCATCTAAGGGAGGAGTAATAAAATGCTCAGAACTGTCACTTTGCTCACCAAAAGAAATTAAAAAAGATGACACTCTAAAAAAGCAAGAAGTAACAGACATCAAAAGAATTCAGATAAAAAGAAATGACACCTCAATAAACACAAACACTTACATTTTAACATTCAACAAACCTACTTTACCAAAATAATGGACACTTCACCCACTAAACATAAACCGGACATAGTGAAAACTCATAACAATACCTGAATGCATAAGCATGATGCAAAAAATTATACAGAGAGTGGTCGAGGCCTAAAAGCAAACATAAATGATCTACTCTTACTCATAACAAATCAACTTCTCACTGTCATTTACCTTCAAAAAACATTCCTAAAACCTAATGATAAATAAAAATAAAAAAAACTATACTCAATATAACTACATACATGACACTTAACGGAGAACATTTGGGAGTGTATCAATCCTTATCAGAAATGGCATCCCCCAAAGTAAAATACTTCTAGAAACTAATCTACCAGCAGTTGCTACAAAAACTATCCTACATAAAACCTGTTAACATCTGCTCTATTTATAATATCCCTCCCACCTCATGATCCCATTAAAGAAACTGATCTAAATAAACTAAGAGAACAACTACCGAAACCATTCATATTATTAGGTGACTTTAACAATCACAATGTTATATGGGGATCCAAGAACTCTGACAAAAAAAGAAAAAAAACCTGGAAAATGTAATTAATAACAATGACTTACATTTACTAAATGATAAGTCTAACATATATCTAAATTCTGTGTCAGGGTACATACTCAGCTATTGACCTATCACTGTATGACCCCCCCCCACCTGCCTATTTTTATGGATTATAGTTGGCAAGTACTCAATGATTCCTGTGGCAGTGATCACTACCCAATTATTATACTGAAGAGGTCAGAACCAATTCGAAAACAATCTCCCTCAATGGAAACTAAACAAAGCAGATTAGGGCAAATATAAAAAACAATGCTGTCAAAAACTTGATGACAAAGAAAAATCTATAACATTAATAGCAATTGCAAAAAAATGTATACCAAAAAGCAGTGAATCAAATAAACATCAAAGACCATGGTTCACCAAAGATTGCAAAAAAGCAATAAGATTATGTAGAGCAGCACTATGAAAATTTAATACTCAACCTACATCCCATAATTTAAATCTATTCAAACAAAAAAGAGCAATAGAACATAATCATAAAAGAAGCTAAAAGAAAATCATGGAGAGATTACATAAATAAAATAAAATCCAATACAAAACCAAAAAAGTTTGGAATATAAGCAAAATCACTGGCAAAAATCTTTCTCTTCCTCTAAATCACCTTTCTCAAAATAACATAAAAATAACAAGCAAAAAGGAGATAGTAAATCTACTTGCTGAAACCTTTTAAAAAATTCCTTTAGTGAAAACTACAAACAGCAATTCCCAAAAGTTAAGCATGATGCAGAAAAAAATCAACTGAACTCAAACAACAAAGAAGATTACAACCATCCTTTTACTTTGAATGAATTACTTATAGATACCATAAGCAAATCACATAGTACAGCTACTGGACCGGATGAATTCATTATGAATTTCTTAAACAATTCTCCATAAAATATCTGTTAAAGATATTTAACAGATATTTTATGGAGAATTGTTTAAGAATTGTTTAAGAAAACAAGATATGGCTTAAGGGAAAACTACCAAATTGGTACCTTGAAACTAATGGTTTAATTACCAATCTCCAGAGTGAATTCTGAAATAAGAGGCACCATAGACAACATAGTCTGCCTAGAAACTTTCATTAGTGAAATTTTTTTATTAAAAAAGAACACACAATAGTCATTTTCTTTGATCTCGAAAAGGCTTATGAAACATTGGATTAAAGGGCAGATTTCCCCATTTGATAAATAACTTTTTGTCAGAAGTTTCGAAGTTTGGGTAGGATCAACACTCTCAGACTCAAAAATCAAATAAGGAGTTCCACAAGGTTGCATCTTGTCCATCACACTTTTTAATATAAAAATTAACAACATTGTTAACTGCTTGAATCAAGGTGTCAATGGTTATTATATGTAGATGACCTTCTGATCTGTTACAGATCAAAAAAATATGCACATGGCAAAACAACAATGGCAACTATGCCTAAATAAATTAGACCAATGGACTATCAAAAATGGTTTCAAATTTTCCCCAACCCAAACAAAGTGTATCCATTTCCGCAATCAGAAATAAAATGTACGATAATCCAACTCTTAAACTTGAAGCAATTAAAACTGAAATGACTGATCACAATAAATTTCTGGGAATCTTTTTTGCTAAAAAACTTACTTTTGTCCCCCACTTAAAATACATAAAACAAATGCTTCAAAGCATTACAATTACTACGGGTTGTGTCTAACACTGTCTGGGGAGCAGATCACATACCACTCCCAAAATTATCTTGAGTTCTAATAAGATCTAAACTGGACTACGGATGTTTCATATATGGGTAGATCCAGAAATCCTATCTAAAAGCCCTTGATCCCATTCAACATCTGACCAATCATCAATGAAAGACTGTCAAGTTACAGAAAGATAAGGAGAGAGGATGTGGTTCTAGCCAGAATCCGTATAGGCCATGCATACATAACCCACTAACATCTACTAAGAAAAATGAGGAACTGCCAATATGTGTCCCATGCCAGGAACCATATACCATCAAAGACATTCTACTAAATTACTATAATTTCCAGCAAACGTGAAACAAACACTACAAATCAGATAAAGGATCTATTTGAAAATACCAATGTAAGTAACATCATCAATTTCATTAAAGAAACTGGGCTCTACAGGTATATATATATATATATATATATATATATAAAAACAAAACAGTTTACTAAATCTGCTTACCTACATAGTTTTGTAACCTATTTTGGAAGGAAAAATTATTTCCATCAATACATTTTTGAAGAAAAATGATTACCAACAATACATTTGACTCTCAACAAAATCCCTCTTTTATAAAATATGTCAATGAAAACTTATCTACAAAATGATTCCTTACAAAGAAGACATACTATATTCATAAGAAGCTATCAGAAAAATCTTGTTGGCATTAAATAACCCCTTCAGATTGATATGTCATTAAACTAACTAAACTAGAAAATATTTTCAAAGTTGAATAGTAAATCTGCATGGATCTGGTCTTAAATGATCAACATTTAAAGTCAATGTTGATGATAGAAAGGAA